CGTGGCCGGCCGGCCTCTGCCGGGGCAGCTGCGGGCGGGCCGGCTGCCCGGGCCGGCCTGCAGCGGTGCCCCCGGCCGTCCGGCAGCTGTTCGGGCCGGCCGGCCCGCCCCCACACACAAACAGAGGCGGTCGCCGAGGACCGCCGCCACTCGAGCCAAGTGGCCGGCCGGCAGCGCGGACAAAGCTGGGAGGAGGACGGAGGCCGAGCTTGCCGCCCGCCGCCGAGGAGGGAGGTCAACACGGACCCAGGCGGGCGCGGCCGACGGCTGGGCCAACACTGCTCACAGACGGGCTCTAACTGACGGCTGGACCAACACCGCTCGCAGACGGGCTCTAGCTGACGGCAGGACCAACACTGCTCACAGACGGGCTCTAGCTGACGGCTGGGCCAACACTGCTGGCAGACGGGCTCTAGCTGACGGCTGGGCCAACACTGCTGGCAGACGGGCTCTAGCTGACGGCTGGGCCAACACTGCTGGCAGACGGGCTCTAGCTGACGGCTGGGCCAACACTGCTGGCAGACGGGCTCTAGCTGACGGCTGGGCCAACACTGCTGGCAGACGGGCTCTAGCTGACGGCTGGACCAACACTGCTCGCAGACGGGCTCTAGCTGACGGCTGGACCAACACTGCTCACAGACGGGCTCTAGCTGACGGCTGGGCCAACACTGCTCACAGACGGGCTCTAGCTGACGGCTGGGCCAACACTGCTGGCAGACGGGCTCTAGCTGACGGCTGGGCCAACACTGCTGGCAGACGGGCTCTAGCTGACGGCTGGGCCAACACTGCTGGCAGACGGGCTCTAGCTGACGGCTGAAACAGCGACGTCTGCCGCCGGGCTCGGTGTGTCGCGCGGGACGGGGCCGGCCCCCAGTGACCAAGTTCCCGCTACCAGCAGGGTCGATACAGAATTTAGACAAGCCTCACAAACTCCAGCTGCAGAGTCCAGGTCCATGAACTTGGACTCCGGGCAGCAGGCGGACAGTCAGGATTGATTCCAGGCAAGGCTCCGCTCGTGGCACTCGGCCGGCGGTTGACATTAGCTGTGCATAACAAACCACTCGACTATGGCGAGTGTCAAAACTGAATCACCGCTGGGATGTCATCGAGATGAGTATTCGGTGATGAGTAGAAACAGAGACACGATTCACGCGTTTGCGCTTTCTGGGAATGATCCGAGATAATTGGTATTTCAAAGTACACTGATGCCGGAGGAGTGCGGTCTCCAGTCAAGGATGCGCTAAGCTTGATTGATTTAGTGCTACGAAAAGGCTGGCTGGGATACAAACCACGTGAACCTTGCACCATTTTGTGGTAGGCGCAGATTTCTACGATTCAGTTTCTTAGCACAAGTACTAATTCCACGCTGCAAGACACATCTTCCTGGTCACCCCGACATCACCAATCATGAGCAGCCCACTTTTACGCCGCTGTCAGACCACCTCCAATGGAAGAGCTGCACGAGGCCAAGGGGCGACGCTGCGCCTGGGGAGGGGAGGGGAGGGGGGGGGGGGGGAGCGCGGCCGGCCCCCGTGACGCACTCGTGTGATTGGATGGGGGCTGGCGGGTCGGTGATGACTGTATAGAGGTCCGCCGACCTGCCATCTGTCGTCGTTGATGGATGCCTTGCTCGGGATAGCATTAGTAATCATCAGGCCGCCACAATTTGACACCGTCCGAGCATGCGGGCGCCGACCAGCACGCCATCCCATCATCACCCCAATCGGGCCGCGGGCAGGCTCTTCAGCTCTCTTCTCACGGTTGCTTTATGCAGAGCTCGCCGCTCCTCCGTGTTTCCGTAGTTCGGCGCCGCGGCGCGATGAATGATTCACGTGAGCGAGGGCCGGACCGGGCTAATTCCGCGCGACGAACGCCTGACCCCTCCCTATCCCATCCCTCCCCAGGGGAGAGAGGGGGCCGACAGCTGCTCGACTCGTCTCGAGGCCCGGCTGCGGACAGGCGGCGCTGAAACACGCGACCGCCGGCCTGCTGAATCATTTCAGCCTTCGCGTCTCATTAGGGCCGCGCGGCGCACCCTTCGCGCCGAATCTCTCGGCGCCGGCCGAAACGTCAGGCGCGTTTTTACCGGCGCCCGCTTTACACCAACACGACGCGGCACGTGCACGGCGCGCACGTGTTGGCCTTCGTCGGCCGCGCCAGCCGCCCACCCGTCCGCGGGAGGGGCGCGGGGGGAGGGGATCGGGGGGGGGGGGCATGACGAGGTAGACAGGGTGACGCTGATCGGCAGGCAAACAGAGCGACGGCCGGCAGACGCTGCCGCCGCCGCTCGGCACGCGCCGTCGCAGCTCTAATTGCTGGTGCGGGCGGCCGCCGGGCAGCGCCGCAATCTCCGGACGGCGGCGGCCGTCGGCCGCTGGAGCTGACGTCCGAGGCGATAGCCGGGCCAAGCGGGCTCGTAATTCGGCGGCCGATTACCGGCCGGCCGGCTCGCCGAGAGGTGACGATAAAGCGGCCGGCAGCGCGCGCTGACACAAACGGGCCCGATATGGGGTCGACCGGGACCGCACTGTCGCCGGCCGGCCTCTTCAATCTGCGTAAAGAACGGGCCACGAGACCGCCCTGTCGCGCGCACCGATAGCGGAGGCGCGGCGGCGCACCGGCCGACGTCCCCGACCCCTTCGTCTGGTTCCGGGATTATCAGAGGTCGGTGACGTCGTGTCCAACGGTTCTGACGGGGTAGCATGAGAGCCGCCTCGCTGCGGAACCCACGCGGCGAGTCGCCACAAGCCCGCCCGCGAGTCGCCACAAGCCCGCCCGCGAGTCGCCACAAGCTGGCCCGCGAGTCGCCACAAGCCCGCCCCTGCGCTGCCGCTGGCGAGCCCGCCCCTCCTCCGCCTCCTCCGCCCTGAGCCCTCCAAACGACGCCAGCAAACGGCGCCGAGCAGAAAATGTACGCATGGAAAGCGCCTTATCGCGGCCGGCTGCCTCGCGCTGACAAACAGCAGACGGCATTCGCTCCACGGCTGCGGCAGTGAGCCGCGTGCGGTTGCCATCCCCCGCCGCCATTTACCATTGTGCTTCGTTTGCCGCCGGCCGACGTCACTGATAACGCCCGGGAATAATGTATAATAACAGCACATGCGGGAGCCATGCGGCCGTAATTCCATCAGCCGATGTCTGGCTCCGAGAATGAGACAATAAGAGAATGGGCTCGCACGCGCCGGCCGCTCACACATCCACACGGCGGCGGCGGCGTCGGGATCGGGGGCAAGAGTCAAATTCGCGAGATCCGCCCCTGACTGCGAACCCGTGCAGACCACGGCCGCCGGGCAGCGGTGGCGCCGGAGAGCTGAGGACTTGCTGCCCTCGCTCGGCCCCTCCGCGACCTCGTGAGTTCGGTCGCAAGGCACATTTTGGGTTCCGTTGTCACCCGGAATTCCACGCCCCGATTTCCAACTAGGCGGCAGCCAAGCCAGACCGCTTCCACGAAGCGGCAGTCGTGCGGACCGCCACACGACAGCCACGGCAGCCACGGCAGCCACGGCAGCCACGGCAGCCACGGTAGACTTACGTTCCGCCGCCCCGGTCGGTCGCGGCCTGCCCAGCCGCCGCCGGGGCCGCCTGGCGCCTCCGCCCCGGCTGCGCACGTGAGACGAGACAGCGCTCGCCGGCCGCAGTCCGTCTCTCCGCTGGCAGACTGAGCGGCTGCCGGCGGCCGGCAGGAGCTCGGCGGCAGGCGGCGGCCGCACGTGAGGTCGGCGCTACCGGGGCGGGCGGCGATCGGCGGCCCGATCTCATCTGAAGCGCGCCCCGACCTGTCCGCCCCGCCGGAACGGATGGACGCGCCGGCCGGCGAGAGCGCGGGGCGGGGGCGGCGACGGGCGCGGGCGGATCCGAAGCAGGAGAGGGGTCCGGCGGCGGCGCTCCGCCCCAGGGGATTGCCGCTGGCGCGCCGCCTGCCCGGCTGCCAGGGATGTCACCTCAGGGAAGGAGAGGGCACAGGGACCCTATCAAGTCCTTGATTCGACATATCTTGAAGGCGTTCCTCACTCTTCTGATGGAGACTCAAGGGTTGATTCAATGGGAGGAACGACGTGATAAGCTATCGCAAGAAAACACCGCACGTCAGACAGCAAAAATCGGATGAGGGTAGGTAGAGTGGGAGAGTGTCTAGCAAAGCACCTCGAGAGTACCTACAGAGGAAGAGTACGTTCCCGGCGATGTGGGAGAGCAGGGAGCAGAAACAAAAACAAAAGATGGCGAAGAAGTGCGCATGTAAGAGATAAGAGACCGCACGCAAGAGGGAGGAGATCACATGAGAGAGGCCCAGAGAGGAGAGGACAGTAAAAGAGGTGGAAATAAACAGAGTGCGCGCGGCGCTGCCGAATACACTTGCACCTTGTTTACGTCCCCCCACGGCAGGTTAAAAATACCGGCATCTCCTGTCAGCACCGCGGTATTGCGCGCGTTCACAGCCATAGTGAGCCCGGGGTCGGATGACGCGTTATTTGGGGGCGCGCGCGCGCCGGCGGCAGCGGCGGCGGCCAGCGACCCTGCAGCGCCGCCGGCTATTTCTGCGCCGGGCGGCGTCCGTGTTTACCGGGGTACGGCAGGCCGAGGGTCGACGCCGGAGGGGAGGCCCCGCAGCCGGACACGACTCCCACGGGAGCCGGCGCACTCGCCGGCGACGCTCCACCGCCGCGCGCCGGCGCCGCGACAGCTTTGTATGGAGCCAGCAGCTGCCGGCTGAGATATAAGATCCGACGAACGCGGCGCGATGTCCGAGAAAACGGCTGATGCAGCACTGCGCGGGGAGGGGCAGCACGTGCGTGCAGCTGGAGTTTGCAGCCCACGCACAAAGGGAGCGGACTGGATGAAGCCGTGCGTAGTCGGCCCCGACAGCTGTATGGCAGTGATGACGAGGTGGTGTCGGAAACCGATGGATTCGCGGGCCAGATATGACTGCCTAAAACATACACCTTTCGGGACTCGGTGTCAAACGACCGCCCCTGCCACTGCGAGGGTTCGCCTCAGCTGACCTGTGTGGGTGCGCTGGTGGGCCTTGAGGTGGGACGACTTGGTGTACACCTTCTTGCAGCCGGAGAAGAGGCACTTGTGTATCCGCCGCTTGCCGTCGGGCGACGTGTCGACGCGCAGCTGGCGGCCGTGGCCGGCCTTGAGCGAGAAGCCCGGCAGGCACGAGATGAGGCCGCCAGAGCGCGACGTGAAGCGAACCTGCAGCGTGCCGCGGCCGGCCAGCCGCGGCCCGGCCGCCGCCCACTCGGGACTGGAGGGCGGCGTCAGCGAGGCCAGCAGCCGGCCGCTGGCGCCCGAGTCGCCGTACGCCTCCTCCGAGTCACTCTCCGACTCGGACTCCACCTCCTCCGTCTTCATGCTGGCCGTCTCCCAGTTGGCCGACGACACGGACGACACGCTCAGCGAGTCGAGCGAGTCGCGCGACGAGAACAAGTAGTCGCTGTCGTCCGCCTCCTCCTGCTTGATGCGCGGCGAGTCCAGCTCGCTGGGCAGCTTCTTGAACGACTTCAGCTTCGGCTCGTCCTTCAGATACTTCTCCATCTCATAGCACGTCTGGAAAAAGCAAAAAAGTAAGATGACTCCGTGGACACAACAGCTGACCAACCACAGAAGGCTCTCAGATTTGAACGAAGAACAAACTAAGTGGAACTGCTCATCCGGTGACGCAGAGCGGAACATAAAAGGAAGTTAGAAGAAAACTGTGACAATTATTCGCAACACCAAGTATGCAATAACCCAAAAGCAGATAAGCGTCATTAGCAGATTGAAATCGAAAGGATCGTTACGGACCTTTTAAATAAGATAAAGATATTTCTAAATAGCTGCGAACTGATTCATAAATGTAGACACCAAACCGCTGCTAGCAGGCTGCTGTCGCTGACCCAAATGTAGCCGCCCGCCGGAAGTTTGATGGCTGCCAACTTGACAGGCGTCAGCCAACTATCAGAAATGTCTGCCGATGCTGCAACGCTGCGTCGGCACCGCCAGAAAGCCGGTGCCTTTGTGTGGATGTCGGCCATGTCAGCTGGCAAAGTTTTTCATGGAAACTTGTGACGGACACAGCGGCGCGTGAAGGCGGGTCCGCCGAAGCCGACGCAGTAATGGACGGACCGATCTGCTCCAGTACCGACGGGGTCACGGCACCCGGTGACGCCAACAGACTCCTGCTGCTTTGTGATGTTTGCTTCATTTCATTTGCTCCTGCTGCTCAGCGTCTTTTACTTCGTTTGGTTATATGTATATATATATATATATATATATATATATATATATATATATATATATATATATATATATATATATATATATATATGCACATCGTTATATATGCACATCGTGGGTCTAGGACTTGGGCGCAATGGGGAGGATCGCCTGGCACGATGTCGGGACTGACGCCGGCAACACGTGGACTAGCATCATGGCGAAGGATCTCACTCAAGCCATGCTGCCCATCAAGGTCAGGTAAGCCTGATTTACAGCCCGGCTCAGGAGTGATGGAGTCGTACTAACCGGCACACAGCGGCCAACCGTCTCACTCCGACGCGGCAATGGTCCGGTATTTCTCCCCACGGTGGGAGCAGCGACAATAGAGCTTGATTCACAGCACCAGCGGCGCCATACATCGTCTGAGTGACACGGTGATCCCGCCGCTTGATCCAGGGCGGCAGTGACCAGACATCGCGCGCGGCGGCGGCGGCGACCCCACCCCGCGCCCCGGCCACGTGTCGGCGGCCGTGCCGTGCCGAGTGGGCGCCGGCGCCGGTCACTTTGCGTTAGCGGCGCCTGGCCGGCCGGCCGGCACGTGCCCGTCAGCCGCGCCGGCCGGCCCGACCCGATGGCGCCTCCGGTTCGACCGGCCGGCCGGGGTACACCGCCGCCGGCCGCGCCAGCCGAGCCGGCCGCCGGCGCCGCCGCCCCGCCGTCCACTCGCTCGGGCGGCGGCGCGACTCCCGACACCTGGCTTGCCGACCGATTACAGAGCGCCGGCGCCACGGCAAAAACGACGCACCGCACTCGAGCTGCGGCGCAGTGCGGCGGAAACGGCGTTTATGCCGTCCGCGGGACCGACGGCCGGAACTCGCGCACAATGCCGCTCCAGGGTAACTCGATGGCAAACAGGTCCGGCCGGGCTGGAGCCGCAGCTGCTCATGCGATGTGGCTACAGAAACCGAGCATAACACTTCCAGTACAAGATCGGCAAGCTGCATACCGTAAGATTAAAATATCCAATACGCAAACAAACTTAATAGGAACATGATGGTTGCTGTTGCTATCATTGGTGATAAGCGGTGGACTCCACAGCTGAGGTCATACGGCGCTGCCTCTCGTGACCCTGGCAGGAAGGCCGGACACCGCGTGGAATCGAACCCGAACCTCTGATTTCTCAGACAGGCAATACAACCATCGCACCACCAGAGCCCTGATAAACTGATGGACATCCTCTGCTATTGTTATGTAGCATCGGGCACCCTGATGGCATCTGATGTTCAGTGAGCAGAAACTATCCCTGATAGCCCATCAACATACGGACCCTCGACGATTTTCGCACTCATAGTAAAATGCCACAGGACAGTGACTCCGTTGTGTTCAACAAATATAATTCGCTTACTACATTTGTCTGTGCATTGCGTTCATTCCATAAGGTCTAGCTCAGATCAGCACGCAAAAGTAATGCATCAACGGCATTGTATGTAACACATCAACGGCTTCAACGGTAATGCATCAAGGATCAACGATACCCATTATTTCATCGATGATTTCCCCCTACCCAGTCGTCTCCAAGACAATGCTTACAGCTAACATACATGGGGTAGTAAAGCACTCAGAAGTTCACGGATGTTTGGGCGGCGTTGGCAGGGTGACCATCTCAAACAATTGGATGCTAGGCATACAAATGCGCGCACGAAAGCGTAGACGAACAGCCATTAACTAAACTGTCCAATGCCAGGAACCTTTCAGTGGCACTATTTCATGCAAGAGCAGGCTGGAACTCCGCAAAACCAACGAGAAACAGCGCCAGACGGAGCGGTGCGTCCGCCACCATTTTCCTAACACAGCTCTGCCGAGGGAGGTGGGAGCGGGGTGCGGATGTTCACCACCCAGATCCGACGCCCGAGGCTCGTAGGAAGGTCACTACCTCACTCCAGGGCAAGGTGACCACCCTCAACCACCCGCCGAGAGCCGACCAACACGGCCCGTCTGGGCGCCCCCTGCCGGCCGGCGCCGCATCAGACCCCTCCCCGAAACTGGGTCGACACAAAATCAATAAATTGCCGGAGAAGTTGAGGATGATTGAGCAAACAAATGCGCGGGCGAGTCGGCGGCGGCGGCGGCTGGCGCGCGCCGCAGGCGGCCGCGTCGGCGGCCCGTCGACAGCGACTCGAAGGCGGCGGGCCGAACGACGCGAACCAATCCTGCCGACCATCAACAATGCACGAGCGTCGGCCGCGGCGCCCCACGGTGGCATTCGCTACGCGCCGCCCGGCGGAGCGCCGCCGAGGCGACGGCGCCACTCAGCGGCGCGGGCTTCTAAAGAGCGTCCTGCGCTAGGGCCGGACGACAGGCGCCGACTGGCGATCCGCCCGGCGGGCGGCGCCGGCGTCCGGGCGGGTCACTGGCGTCGCGACCCCCTTCGCCGATTGACGAGTGGGCGGGACTGGACGGGTTAAAATTACTCAGGGGAGACCGGTGACTTCCCCGCGCGCCCGACTGGCCCGCCCAGCAGTGAGGGCATAGATGGGAAAGTGGAGCCCATCCCCGAGGCTTCGGACCTGACCGAACGCTCTGCGGTCCGGAGGGCTGCAGGGGATGCACACGCCCACCTAACGTGAATATATATATATATATATATATATATATATATATATATATATATATATATATATATGCACTCTGTCGCCACTCTGTTCCTCTCCAAAGTCGCACATTCCAGTGAGGAGCAGCCGTGTCGGATTGCCGGTCTGCGGCTACTGGAACAAGCAAGCCGCATACCGACACGCCACTGCGGTCGCCGGCGGCTCACATAAACCACTGCAAGTTTCGCTCCGCGAGCCCCGGCAGCGCCATTCCCGCCGCGTCCGCCGCAGACACGTCAAACGCCCGCAGCACGAGCACGACCGGCTCTTTCCCTTCCGTCAGCTTTCTTCACCGGCCGCCGAGCTGCGCGCTGCGCGGCTGCGCGGCTGCGCGGCTGCCCCAGCTCAGCCCGCCGGGGGAGCGCTCCAGCGACGCCGCCGCCGCCGCCCCCCCCCCCCCCCCCGCCTCTTCCCACCCGTTCAAGCAGCTGGGAGCGTCGCCGGCGTCGCGGCGGCCCGGCGTGGGAGCGGCCGGCCGTCGGCTCCCAGCGCCGGCCGGTTCACCGGCCGCCACGCTGGCCACCCCGCGCCGGCCGCCCGGGCCGCTCCGGAAGCGACGTGGCCGCTGTACGGGACAGGTTGACGTCGCTCGGGGACCGGAACACCGCACGCTTCGCCCTCCCGCGGTGCTCGGTTTCGGCGATATTTCACTCACGGCGAGCCGGAAGGGGTTTCCCGAGTCGATTACGTTTGCAGCGTGGTCAGCCGGCTGGCAACGGCCCGCTCAATAATGGCCGCTCTGACAGAACTACCCAATTCCAGCGCGCCGCTCGCCGCCGGCGCCGGCTATCCCTCCCCGCGGCTGCGCGGCCAGCTCATGTCGGCGCTCCGCAGCTCGTCTGTGTCGGCGCTCCTGTCGGCGCCCCGGACGGACTCGGTCAGCGGCACCTGGTGACGCCACGAGACCCGCACCCGGAGCTGGTGACGTCCCGGCAGCGGCGCACACGCCGCCACCGCTCCGCGCCGAGTCCGCGGCGATGCCCCCCGCGGGTGGACGCCACACGGCCGCTCTGAGTCTGAGATTTTCGTGCTGAAGGCACGCGGGCAGCAGCTCCACGGCGCGCGTTAAATCGCGATACAATTTCGCAACTGATTGTGAGCTCGACGCCGATGGTCAGTTGCGACCGAGCCGTCGCTGAACAGCCGACAATCAGCGATGACCACAGGCGTCGGCCGCGCCAGCGATCAAAGGTCACCTGCCCGGCGGCGATGGCGGCCGGCCAGGCCTCGCACCTCACCAGGGTCAGGGTCAGGGTCACGGACCGGACGGGTCCGGCGGGCGACCCCGTCAGCCAGCTGGCGCGCCGCCGGCCGGACTCGGACACCGCTGCCGGGCCGTCACTCACTTCAGCCCATTACATGACGCCCACGCCGGCGAGCGACGGAATGGGTTTTGATAAGGCGCACGCCTGACAGGACACGCCTGTTTACCCAGGGGGCCCGCGATGACAGCCGCTCTGCAAGTCATGACTGTGTGCCCTGCGTCATAAAGATCCCCTAGATTAAGTTCAAGGCTGGGAGCCAATGTCAGCGTATATCATGTTGCAAGAGAAAGCTAGATGATGTGTCGATATTTGACTGAATGCGTGGGAGACCCTGCTGGCGAAGCGGGCGGCTTTTGAGTCAGTGTTTCTCCAGGCGGTATTCTGGTCAAAGCACATGCTTCAGCGCCGCGTGAAACAGCACGGAAATTCATCT